GATCTTACTGTGAAGAACCCCCTTCGCCCCTTGTGCTGGAATTTTTTTTCCACCAATTTTAGGTGGTGGCCTCTAGTTTTTGTAATGGAGTTAATTTTAAACAGTTTATCGCTAATGTTGCTGCCACCATTGAACATTTTGTACATGGAAATCATATCCCCCCTCAATCTCCTCACCTCCAATGTGAACATGTTTAAATTTAGTAGCCTTGTCTCGTAGCTCTGGTCCTCCATACCCCTAATTAGTTTGGTTGCCCTCCGCTGGACTTTTTCCAACTCAAGGACATCTTTTCTTAGTACTGGTGACCAGAACTGGACCGCGTACTCCAGATGAGGTCGAACCAATGATCTATAAAGTGGCAAAATTATAGACTTGTCCCTGCAATACATCCCCTTTTTAATACAGGACAAGACCCTGCTAGCTTTGTTTACAGCAGCCTGGCACTGCAAACTACCTTTCAGTTTGTGGTCTACAATGACCCCCAAATCCTTCTCCATTTCTGACTTCCCTAGCGGCATACCCATAATTGTATAACCCATTTGTTTATTTTTAATTCCAAAGTGCATTACTTTGCATTTATCGACATTAAACCTCATCTGCCACATTAATGCCCACTCCCCTATTTTATCCAGGTCCTCCTGTAATGTTATAATGTCTAAGTCCGTGTCTATTACCCTCCCAATTTTGGTGTCATCCGCAAACACGGAAATATCGCTGTTAACACCCTAATATCGCTGTTAACACCCTTAATATTGGGCAACATAAAAATTAAAAAAAAAAATTTAAAAAACATAAAAATTTTCAACTACCACCATTTTATTCTATAGTACAGATACCCTCTGAAGATCGCACTTCAATAGCTTATAGCTGGGCTCCAGGAGTCAGTTCTGGGCTCCAGGAGCCCAGAACTGACAGCCCAGGGACCGGAAGTGATGCAATCTGCATCGCTCCCGGTCCCATGGAACCTCCTCCCCAGCTCCCCGTGGACACCAAGGACGCCGGTCCCAGGCCCGTAGGAGGGGCTGCGGGACACAGAAGCGATCTGGCGACAGGTAAGTCGCCAGAATCGCTTCTGTTGTAAAGCAGACAGTCAGCTTTACAAGTTTAAACAGAGTCTGTTTAAACAGCCCCGATGCTGGCGACGTACACTGTACGTCGTCAGTCACGAAGGGGTTAAGGTAAGTGTTTTACTTAACATTGGGGGGAGGGAAACATTTTTTTGACTTTAATGTCACTAAGTATTTCAACTCTCGGGACCCCTCAGCGTTTCGGTCACCTCTGCTCACATGCACCGCGACTCCCTCTATCTTGAATTCACTCTGCCAATCCCGTCCTTATGCCCACTTTGTCCAGCCAATCAAACGCCTCCCTCATTGCCACTTACTTCCCCATAAAGGTTGGGAACCACTGCTTTCAATAGAGAAATTGCTGTGCAGGGTCTCAGGTGGCCTGTGCAGGGTCTTAGGATGGCTGTGCGGTGTCTCACCAGGGCTGTGTGGGGTGTTAGGAGGGCGGTCTCACCAGGGGTCCTGGAGGCGGGCAGCAGGGATTCCACAGGAAGGAGGCGGAGTAGATGTGTGGCCAGCGCTGTTAGCAGCGGCGCGAGGTACCCAGCAAGCGGGGACCTGATGGCAGCCACTTGTGTTTAAAAATGTAAAGCTCCAGTATTGGCGCTTAGTATCCGTGCAATTTTTCTGAGTATCAGCATTCCTACTTACAATGGATACTGCTTCTTGAATAAGATAGCCCCCTGATATCCTGTTTTAGGGTGTCTCCTTTCCCTTGCAGGGTCCTATGGAGCCACCCTTGTGTGCGCGCTAGTATGCTGTGTGTCTCCATAAACACACAGGTACAGCAAGCCAAGAAACTTTCCTCTTTCCTGCTCCCCACTCGCCCTAGCTGGTAGATGGACAGCTGCTGGAGTCTTTTATGTCCCTTGTGATCTTGTACTAGTCAGGAAGTTCTGGGAAGCTGGGCTGAGAGAGTTGGAGTCAGCTGTTTGAAAACATGATGACTGTGTTTGGGAAAAAATGTAAAGAAATGTTTTGCTGAGCAATGTATATTTAATTGATCTGGAATCAATACTGAAAAAAAAGGTTTGACAGTTTATAACTACTTTAAACTTTGATTTTAGAACTTGCAATGGGAAAATGGAATGATTGTTGTGTGGTTGTTGAGACATCTCCATATTTTATTCACTCCAGTGTTCATGAATCAGCCTTAGTCTGAGATAAATTCTTTATTGGAGGGTCTACAGTGGAAATATTGATTACAGTCATCCCACAGTATTCATCCACCGCATATCCTAAAGAGACCCTGTCGCCAGACCATTTATTGCAGTAAAAATATTCCCAGAAGACTATATGTGCATTAAACATATTTCAGGCATGTGATTTACCTGTGTAAGCCTCCTTTGTGTAGACATTCAAAAACCTTAAAACTGCTGCTGGGCTATTCTGACAGGCAAAACTCTGACACATCTGGGTTGTGGATGTCTCACTGGCTGAAAGTAATGGAGACAGGAAGAGGACGGGAATGCTTCATCACTATCAGGAAGTACAGAAGCTTTGTCTGTTAGAATGGCCCGGAATTCAGCTGTACCTGCAGGGAATGAGAAGCTGCGGCAGGTATGTGTTCAGGAGCCTCTAGGTGCCTGCACCTTTTAATCCTCCTAAAAGGATCCCAACATTTCTGATATCCATTTAGTGCGACGCAAAACATCAATCAAGATTACAGTACAGTCTCAATCTTTTTTTTATGCAAAAAGAATGGAGAACAATTATGAAATAAACCAGAAATTACACATGAATGTTATAAATTTTAAGATTTTAATGCCCCATGGCCGGGGATTGTAAGATGCACAGACACAGGATAAGGTACAGGTAACATAAACAGACAGGGGAGTCAGAACAATCAGCTGTTAATCAGAGTTCCATGGAGGTTTCTAAACACTCACCCAAAAAGAGGAAAAACCTCTCCATTCAAGCAAACCACATTACCTAACACTTTCCTCTCCATCAGTAGACCCTGCAGTATAAAACAAACAAAAAAGTTCCCGGCCTCCTTTCATTAAAGTGCACTCTGAACCCCTGATCTCCCAGCCCTGGCCAGAAATATTTAAAATACAATGATTTAAAAAAAAAAAAAAAAAAAAAAGCTTAT